GAGATTTACAAAGACTGGGCGTGTCTCAAGAAGTGTGAATTTAACAATGCTTCTCATCAGGCAAATTAAACATCTTACAATACTCTTTCCCCTTTAGGTGCCTTCCTCTTCTGTTACTAGGTGGAAACCATTTAGCAACAACTTTATTAACTGAGGATCAAGTTCCTCTGTATTTCCTTCCTGCTCATTCCTTTTCCCCTCACACTTAGATACGCAGCATGCAGCTGTAGTGTACAATCAAGAAGAAGGGGTTTAAAATATAAGTGCTAGGAATAGAAGTTCCACTCTGAATCATTTCCAGCCCTAACACTTCTGAGTCTACAATAATTCAGTTAGAGCTGCAGGAGCACTAATCATACTGAATTTATGTTCTTCATTATGTGAAGCTGCTTCAATTTACAGACTGAGGGCACGTCTGCTACTCACCTTCCACCTACACCTATACACACCCACACACTCTGTTCCATTTACAGGTTAATTTCCCAAAGTGCCTTGGAGCACACATTTAGCTGCCCTTAAAATGTGTCTACATTACTGAGATGCATGGTGGGATTAATGTTTGAATTGTGGAGTAATTTGAACAGGAAGGTCAGCAGATTAAGCCCCCTTTCTCAAAGCAGTTTCTTCTAAAACTGGTATTACGCTTCTAACGCTGGTATTACGCATCATTTTGCACAGATGTCAAATTTCATGTGTAGTCTATATATGTGTGTTGACATATGCATGCTTATATATACACATACAAAAGAATCTGCCTTGTGTCTGGTACTATTGTGTTCTAGTGGAAGCAAAAGTGAAAGGGAGGTAGAGGGGGAAGAGAGCAACAATTAAAACTTGGTTCTCTTGTTTGTGAGTTAGATGTACATCTAACTCACAAACCAGGGGTTTTCAGTGGAAACTTAAAAACCAGAGTGCTCTGTAGTCTGTCAGTTCTCACATGAGCTGGGAGTCTCAGGGGCCCCAGTGGTAGCCATTGAACCTGACCTCCACCCAGGTAGGGTCATTTTAAATTGACTCCTGGCACATACACAAAAAAGGAAGGCAGAAGTAATTTGCTTTTGCCAGAGTTCTACTTTCTTGTCATTTGGGGAAATGTAACCTAAATAAAGAGGCAGATACAGAAGTACAGAACGCACCAAAACTTTTTTTTTTTTTTTTTTTTTTAACTGAAGAGAAGATGTGTAAATGCCAGCAGTGGGAGGAGAAAGAGGAAATACGATGAAGAGAGGGAAGAGGGCCTATAGGCAGTGGAGGAAGATGATGGGAACAGGAAAAAAACCAGCATAGAAGGAAGAGGACCAGAGATGGGAAAGGGATAACACCACCAGTAGCAAACAAGTTCAAAATGCCCCATAGGCCTATATCATTCTTTCCTGTGAATATCCTATGAAGCAGCATTTTACTCATTTCCCCATAGAGTATGGAACTAAAAACACTCCATGTCTCGAGAGGGAACTGTTTTCTATAATCCCTCCTATTGCTTCAGTACAAGAGCAGGCTCTCACAGAAGCAGCATACCACTCCACAGGGGTTTACCTTCCCATCACCTTTATTGACATCAGATATTCTCTGCGGATATGTGAACTTATCCTTCCTTATTTGCTCTCCCTCTCCACCTTTCATTTGTGCCTTACAGATGGAATTGAGTTGTTCAGAGAGCAAGCTGGATTTAAGAGTTAAGGACAGGCATGCTTCACTCTTTGTTTCTGTCAGAACAGAAAGAGCATGAGGAAATTCTTTCTGAAATGAATGGAACAATTCACACCTTTCAGAGCTGTTGTTTCAAGTTGCATATATGTCTGAAGTCATACTCATCCCCATCTTGTATTCTCACTCAGTTCAGTATATCTGACTTTGATGAATATGTCATTTCACACCCTTCTGAAAAGTCTTTGGTTTAAAGGTCAATTTCTTCTCAGTGCTGCATAATCCCCATGGTTACCTGACTGCCTTGAAATCTGGCACGGTTACCACAGCTGGTGAGTAGAATTATTGATCTAAATTAGAGGTCACATGAGTCAAGAATTCCCAAGATAGAGCCTTTTTTTCTTTAAAAAACCCAGCATTCCTTAACATTGACCAACTGTCCCAATGTTTCATTTGTGCACACATCTAGAAATAAAACTGTGACCAAAGAGTCTCAGTTGCTCAGTTTTTAAAAAATAAAAGCCACCAAGTGTCTCCTTGGTATTCAGAGTTCAGATGCTTTCAAAACTTTCAGCTCCACACATGAAGCAAATTAAATGCTCAAGACTTCAGGGAGTTATTGACCCAGTGAGTAGGTCTAAACAACTCCTTCTATTCCTATACAAAGCCTGGCAAACCCTTTTTCTTAAGGGTTACTTTTTCATACTTTTTCTTAAGTAAATAATCCTTCTTTTTGCACTTACTGAATGCTCAGAAGTTAGAAATTAATTAGGTAGCTCATTTTGAAAATTAAGAAAAAATTGAAAAGGTGAAACACAGCTCCATAAACAGTTCAAAAAGGATAAGGGCAAGGAAACAGAGTAGATAGGTCAAAGGAAACCTGCTCTAGGCTCTGGTGAAGCTTTTGTTTATTAGGATTAGAACAACATCAAAAGCTTGAAAAAAATATATGCTTATATCTACTGTGCAACAGCAGTGCTATATATAAGCAACTGCAGAGTACCAAGCATCTGCCATACATGCTGCTTAAATACCAATGACTTAGTGGAGCAGAAAGGGTGTGTAAACTGAAAAAGGCAGTGGAAGAGTTTGGGGAAAAAAGAAGTGGCTCATCTTAACAAAACTACTGTACTTCACACAACTGTACTTCATTTGCTAGACTGAGAAAATCGATGTCTAAGAATATGTCTTCTAAGCTGCTCCAGCTTATATCTCCACAAATTCTTTTTAAAGTGGGCAGCAGTACACATACAGTGAATGAATAGAAGGGTCTGCAGGTGTTTTTGTCCAAGTAATGCACCTTAGGTTTATATTTTCCATGTGCTGGAAGCTGTAATACTATCAAGCAATCAGTGAGTAAATTAAGGTATTTTTCAGTGAAATTCTGTCATTACTATTTTGTCATTTCCCTTCATTTCTCAAGGGTTGACATTTTTCAGCACTGAGAAACTATTCATTTAATTCTCTAAGTGACTTCAAAAATAAACCACATACAATTTTACAAAACACTGCGCATTAGTGAATTAAAGCAAAGTCACCATGGAATGTGTGTGGAAACACATTCAACTTCCATTAGAATACTGAAGGTGTTCGTTATATCTGTGTTTTATAACTGATTGCCAGATGAACTCACAATAATATGACATAGCAGAATATTTTAGAAATGTTTACTCCAAAAGTGTGTATACATTTACATACTTGCATATAATATACAGAAATTCAGCCTAAATTATAATAATAGAACACAAACTCTGAGGAAAAAAAGACAAAAAGCAGTAATTAGATGAGCAATAATCTAATTTGATTAACTAATAGCTACAGATATAAAACCAAATTGTAATTCTGGCAATTTAAAGAACAACTGTTCCTTGAACTTTATCTTATTGTTCAGATGTTGCCCATAGGAAAAAAAAAGACAACATCCAAAATGAACCAGAAGCAATGAGCTATCAAGTAACTGATCTATGGATGGCAAAATAGCCTTCTCACAAGATAACAGAGTACATCAGACAAATTCCATACTAAATCAAGTCCAGGTAATAAGTCAACATGAACCAACTTTGAAACTAAAACTATGCATCAACAATGTAAGAGCTCAAAACTAGGTCAAAATATAAATTATGGCCTTTCAGGGCTCAAAACTTATAGCAAGAGTGGCCTCGTTTGCACTATCACAATCCATTTGTTATAGGAAGAAAAAAGAAGAGTTCTGAAAGTTAATCAAGGTCAGTTGCACCATAATTATTCAAAAATGCAGTCACCTGGTACTTTGTTTTTTCGCCAGGGGCAGGACATCTGAAAATAGACAGGTAAGACAGAGACAAAAGTACAAGTGCAACTGAAAGAGATAATAACTCTCTACACTCTTTAATGACTCATGATTCTGGTTCTCAATATCCAAAAAATGTGGGATTGTGAGTGGGGGGTGTGGATGTGCTACTGAAACACTTTTTCTTGGATGGAATGAAAAGGGGAGACATCTGACTTAATGCTTCTAAACCTCTCTATTAAAATTGCCTCAGTGATAACTGTTATGCATTTGTTGACAAAGACTAACACTGGTTAAGTGTCAACATGATAGTATGACTTTTTTTGAATAATTAACCACCTTCTGTGCTCATCCCCAGAAGTATGAGGTGCTGCCAAAGCCACCTTTGGGAAGGTTTGCACAGATTAGATTTTTCTTTCATTACATAAATTTATATCATCCTCTCCATTAAACAGAAGAGCACAGATATAAGGCCTTCTCAAACAGAATGAGGAAGATAACTAAGCTATTTTAATCTCTCAAATAAAAGGATTTTTGAGTTCTCTCTTTAAAAAAAAAAAAAAAATTAAGTATTTAATAGGATGGTTCCCAAACAGAAAACTAAATACATATCCTTTTGATTTCAAAAGGGGTGGCCTAGGGAGAACTTGTGGCACAAAGTACTACAATACAGAATCAGCAGTAAGGGAGAAAAGCAAGTGGAACTCCCCTAGATACAGAAACACTCATTGAAAACTTTAAAATCCCACAGCAAAAGCAAATGATGCTCCAAGCATTTTTTCCAGGTGCTACATTCATCCAGGAAAGCAGAAAGCACTGGTTTCACTAAAATTCAAATTAATGTTAAAGAGAAGTTAGAATGGTTTCTGAAAACTTTAATCTGTGGTCTGGCTTCTTTAGTTCACACTATAGTCTGTGTGCAAAAGGCAGACTATTTAACATCAGTAAGCTTTTGCAATACCTATTATAAAAACTAGAGTATCTCAAAAGAGTAAAACAAAATTTTCACATGATGAGGGTTTATTATGCATTACTATTTGCATTAACAGATTAAATGTAGATTCTTCCTTTTTAATTAACTTACCTGGTTGATAATATGTCAATAAGTTCTTTTCTGTTCTGGACTCTGAGTGTATTAGTTTTGTATCTGGAATCTTTACTAACTTCAGGCAAATTCAGGATCTAAGTAAAAATAAAGGTAAGTAAGAAATGTGCTTGGCAGGAGATACAGATATAGATAGATAGATATAGATATATAACAAAATAATTACTGATTTTTTTAAATCACTGATTTCCAGTAATCACTATTTATCAATCATTTAATTTAAAAAATTAAAAATTAATTATTATTTCTTTTTGTAAAAAGCCTCCTGGTTGATGTAACATAACAAGTAAAGGAAAAGGACAGAAATCAGACCGAAGATTCAAATTTTAGCTAACAGCTTTTGGGATTAGCTGGGAGAAATTCTTACCATAGAACACTAAAAAAGTAAGTTATTAACATGGGGATGGATAGATCTGTGGGATTATCCTGCACTAACTTATATGTCACAGAACAAGAAATATGTCTCTATTTCATAAGCTAGATGGAGAAAAGATATGTCTAAGATTATTTCTTTCCACTTCAGTAATGTCTGTCAAAAAGGCAAAAAAGAAAAGGGAAAAAGAAAAATCTATTGAAACACCATTGGTCTTCTTTATTATTTTTCTTTTCCAAAAGAATTAATAAAGAAAAGTTGTGGTAAAGCCTCTGAGAAAGGAGAAATACATCTTTGATGTGTAACTTGCACCTGCCATATTAGAACTTTAAACAACATGTGAAGACCATGTGTATTATACTACAAAGGGAATTAAATATGCAAAATAAGTTTCAGAATTTTGGACAGGCATTCATTAGAAAAATTAGCGGTGTGGAAAATCAATATAATTTACCTATTTGTGCCACAATTACTTTATATAGAACATAAATAAACACAATTAAATGTGATTTCTAAAACTAAACCAATTACATCAGCTACAGAGAAAGGCAGCATAGAATCCTATAAAAAAGAGACTGTCACATATTCTTCATGTATTTTTACTCACTAACACACACTAAAGCTTAGTTTTTCTTACGATGAGTCTTATAATCATTCTAAACATGCTACATTTTTATAGGCCCATTTCTAAGATGGCTTTAAAAATACAGTGGCTCAAATCTGAAGTTCCTATAGCCCATCATTCTATCTCTGCCTGTTGTCTGATGCTTAGGAAGAGTTTAAGAACAGGGACAGTACATACAACACTTCCTTAATATTCATCCAAACTCCAGTCCTCTTTTGATTAGGACATTTCCGAGTAGAAGGTGTTTTCTACATATTTAGCAATCATCAATGGATTTATGTTTTATTAACATGTTCAGTCACTCCCTGGTGTCAAGTTGGTGTCAATCTCTCTGATATTTGCTTCAAATATAACATTCTACTAATTCCTCTGACACTGCTTTAGACCAAGTCCACAATCATTTAATGACTCCTGACTTTGCTGGAGTGAATAAGGATACAGCTTCCTTTAAAGTTAATAGCTGTTGATGACATAAAACCATTAGCAAAACAGATATTCTTTCAACAGATATTTAGAGATATTAAAAACAGATAGTCATCTTTGAGATCGTTTTCACTTAGAGTAACAAAACTAAGCATGGAAGTAAGGTATCTGTAAGTAATGCTAGAACAATGGTGATGTTACAAAACTTTTCTGAAAATTTTTATCTACAAGGTAACATAAAGCATCAATCTAGCATCTTCCATCAATATTTAAGTCAGAGGATATTTTCTTTTCCTTCTGCATTTATATAATCTAGTTTATGTAAATCACAACATATCATAAATTAGCATTAGAAAATAGCTAAATTTTTCTGTCTGGAAGTTTATCAGTACTGTTGGAACCCCTTTAAATTATTTCTATTTTTTTAGTACTGCTGGTTTGGAGTTGCAAATCACTGCTTTAGAAAAAAAAAAAAAAAAAAAAAAAAAAAAAAAAAACTGTAAGGTTGTTCAAATTAAATGATAGTGAATACTTATGTGAGCTTAAAAATCCAAGAAATTAATCAGAAAGCTATGGTTCCATTTGATGAGTTATTTGAAAAATGATCATATGGAGTTGCTCACTCTGCTGTTTTAATTAATGTTAGTGATTTCAGCTTTAACTTAATGTCCATCTGGTGTAAAGCTGCATGTCTATATATGTTCTCAATTTTTTTTGTGACTAACAAATGCACACTTGAGAAGTTATTCATTAATGTACCATTCATCTTTCTGCATCATGTTGCCAATGTTATTTTCTTTATTTCACTGTGAACATTTAGAATGAAATGGTGTTCTCTGTTTGAAGCCTTGTTCAAGTTCTACATGCACACTCAGTGCTTACACTCCCTGTGTTTGGGGTCCTGCAACACTAGCAAATCTGTTTGAAATCTCCCTTGCTCTACACAAAACTTCAGTTTTCTGAAGAGTCTCACTCACTAGTCCTAATCAGACCAAATCAGCCACAGATCAGGATGTGCTGCTGCAACACTTGACCACAATGAAATGCATTTCAACCAGCAGTGTTATGAAGTTTTTCTTCAATTATCCAAGTCCTCAAACAAGCTGCATTAGTTGTCATTGATTTTGAAAATATCACAGTGAATTATTCCAGATTTTTGTTTCTGCTTGCCTGGAAAGATATAGTCGAAGCAGAATGTTTGCAATTGTTTACAGCTTGAGCCAGCTGTTACATCTCTATAGTATGTGCCTTCAGGGCAACAGCTTCCATACAGTCTCTATTTTCAGCACCAACTCAGCTGATAAAGATTCTCAAATAGCAATTCCAGTGTTTGAAATAGTTGTCTCTGTATTTACTAAAGTTCACTAGGGCGCTGCAGGTCTTCATGTATGAAAGTTCTTTTCCCTTATTGGCTTTCCGTCTTCACAGTTTTAAGATCCAAACCACCTTTGACTTAGCACAGAGCATATCTCTAATGGGTATTCATTCCAGCATTCCACTGGCTTCTTCATTATTTTATTTTTTCTGGCAATGTAACAGCCCAAATCCGTACCTATAATATCCTGATAAGGGTAAAAAGCATTCTTTATAGAAACAAATATGATGACTGGTATATAGAAAAATCTAACAATTACTCAAAACTTGAACTATTTTTTCTGCTTTTTTACCCCTTTGAAATGTAAGCAATCATCATTTTTCCATGCTCCGTACCTCTTATTTCCAACTGCAGGAACACCAGAACACATTTATCAGAATTAAAAAAAAAAAAAAAAAAAAAAAAAAAACCACAGCCTGCAGGCCAGGGCTAATATTAATCTCACTTAATATTTATCCTATACATTCTGGGGTAACAAAACCATAAAACCATTAAAAATTGCTTCATCTTCTGGGGTTCCATTCACTCTTTAATGATTACAGAGAGAAGATGTAGCAACAAGGCACACCATAATTCTCTCAGCTGTGCCCTAAAGTCAGGTATAGTGCATGGTCTATAGATTTAGTGCCTGCTTGCTCACATCAAGATGTCAGAACCTACTGAGATGGATCTTCAGCTCTGTCTTACTCAAGGATGGCAGGATGACAAGCATTTGCTACATAATTCTTCACTTTAGATGATAAAGCACCAAGACATTCACAGCTATGTCCTGGGACACTCTGGAAAGATTTCCTTTAGAGATAATGAGTCTTTGATAAAACTGAGTTGTGCCAGGTAGACACTTATTCAGCTATTAGTCTTCATTCATATTAAGATAATGATGACTGTAGTGGGCAGACGCCTTTATGAAGAAAACCCACTGAGCAAATTTTGAAGAGGTTAAGAGCCAATTCAAAGTGAAAGCAGAGGCCCTCCACATAGTGAGGTGGGGATACATACCCCAAACTGTACTAAAAGAGTATCAAAATAGCACAGTCCTCTTACCACATATTCCAGTTATACGTGGTGAACTTCCACAGAAATGTGAAATATCTGACATGAACAAATGGAGGAAAATAATGCTTAGTTTCCTGAGTGTCATTAATTTATGTTAAATATCCAAGTTCCTAGAGAAAAAACACAATGGCCAAAATAGCTAGAGCTGTCATTTTTTTAAATGTTGTCTAATGCTATATGCAAAAATTCTCGTCCCATCTTACATGTTAGTGGGGTCTTTTATTTGGAATGTTGATGCATTTCATTTAGAACAATTTTTTTTTAAGATTGTTCTTCAACATCATACCTCTGCACCACTCCAAAATCAGCCCAGAGTCCTGTAACATTTCTTTTCTAAGAAGTCCACAAGTTTCTCAGTGAGCACAGATCTGCATATGCTAGTGCTCTAAAGGACAATGGGCTTGGGTAATGATTTAAGTAGATGCAGATTCAATCAGATGTGCACAGATTTCAAAAGGAGAGCAGTACCTACAAGTTTTAGAACAGGTGTGTTCTGAATTCAGAGCCAGAATAGCGGCCGGTTAGAATTTATACTCACCACTTGTTTCCATACAGAAAAAAAAAATCATAAAGAAGAATCAGCATCTTAATTTTCCTAGTGAAAATGGTAACTATTACACATTTCTGTACTCTTGCCTAACACACCTTGCAAACAGTGACAAACTGATGATCATTTCCAGCTCCCACCACGATGTAGCCATCCTTGGTCTTGAATGCCTGGAAGAACAAAGACAGGTGATAAGCTGTAACTAAACTATAAAATATTAGCACACCTTTGAAGTGAAACTTTGTAAATAATGTTCAAATAACTTCCTTAAATATTTCCATTCAGACCCAATCTCTTGTTCTATAAAAGTGGCTCAAAGTCATCCATTCACAAAGATGGATGAGGCCCATTTTGAATTTTTTCCTAGAGCTGAGAAGTTATCTTGGTTAAAAGTTTATTTGCTAAAAATGTGTCATGAGCCATCCTTAAACTAAATGTGTCCCACATTCACAGGACTGAGGATTACCATGATAATGCTTACTTGCCAGGAGTTATTTATTCAGCTTCACTCTTAGTCTGACTCAGAGCAGACAGTTGCACTGAAATGTTACAGATCCTGACCAAACACACACAAAAAAAATTGCCAAATAGTAACTAACAATTAGGAACTCCCATGGGAATGAAAGGGATAGACTGCATCTTTACAGTTCTTCCACTGGAGATAAGGCTATCTTCTTAGTCAGTAGTCTCAAGATCAATCTCATGGAGGAAATGGGACTTCTTGTCCAACTTTAAAGATGTAATTTTTACTTTTGACTTCATTACAGTGGCCTTAGTGGCACATTTCATGGTGAACACAACATTGAACTGGGTAGGACATAACAGCTTTAATTTCAGTCTAAGCCATCTCATTTAGATTTTCACCGGAAAAAAGAAAATCCATAATTGGCAATATCTTCTTTTTTTTTTTTTTTCCATTGTGGTAGGGCATATTCTAAAACTGATAATGCAATTCCTATTTTCTCCACATCTCTCTCTTATAAAAAGGTGTATAACTGCAGTTTCAGTCATACATATTACCAGCCCAATTTTTTGAAACATTTAGGAAAAATTCTTTCACCATTAATTTAACTTCAATGTAAGAGGCCAACATAGGCTTCTGCACTAATGGTGGCAAGAACTTGCAATCCTTTGCAGAGGGCAAAACTCATCTTCCATTCCTAGAAATCTTTTTTTTTTTTCTTTTTTTTTAAATGAGCTATTATGTCCTCATTTAAAGGTGTGAATTTTCACAATAAATTTTGGTAAAATAACACACAAATGTAAGTCCTGGAATGGAAACACTTTAAAATTCTTCCCATGCCACTGTGGCTTATTCTTCTTCACAGAGAGCAAGATGCTATCTCAACTTGCAATCTTTCATGTAGATACAAATACCTTCACAAAGACTCTTTTACCATCTGGTATAGTCAGTTTCAAAATTGCATGTGGACAATCATATCAATCTCAAATGCAGGTAACTGTGCATCATAGCTAAAATACCACCTGTTTGCTCTTTCTATGTTTCATTTAATTGTAAATACTATTGTCCAGTCATAAGGTTTAACACTTTATTTTTCACACATTTTATTAAGTAGTTCAGTCTAAGATAGCAAGCAAAGATAAAATTCAGCAAACAATTAGTCCCAAGTATGCAAGAAAGTACCACTGACTTGGCCCCAGTACAGTAAAAGTTTAGTAAAATACATAATATAAAAGTATTACATACACTAAGAGTAGTAAGCAAAGGAAAAAGATTGGAGAAAAGAATACTAAAAGAGATTTGTATGTGAACACATAAACATTTCTCAGCTAAATCTCTGCATAAAGACCTCAGTCTAAAAAAATAATGGCAGACCCTGGTAAAAGCATATATAAGACTCTCCCTCCCAGTAAACGGCCTTTAGTGGAATGATTATGAATTAAAACTCTCTGAATAAACTTACTACCTTTAGTTACAGGCAAAATCTGTTTTCTGAACTCCTACCCAAATCATGACTTTTGCTGATGTGCAGAGTTCTAAAACCAGCCTCATGCAAGTCACACAAATTATGGGTCAAACACTGTATGTATCAGTGTGCATATATAACACAGAATAATTTTTATTGGTGCAACTACCTACTACTTCCTGTAAACACAAATCAGAATTCTTTTGTACATTCTTTTAAACTTCCAGTCTGGATGCCTGCTACAGCTTACAAAGTATATGTTGTATGTACAGATCCCCCTCCTCAGCACTCCAAATTGTATTTATATTGGTAGTGTGGGCAAATCTTGGAGAGTTTATTATTTATCATCAACTTCTGTTGAGACACACGTCTCTGTAAGAAGGCTGCAATCACACAAAGGCTGCATACCACTGTGAAGCATGCATCTGTACCCACTGGCTGCCCATGCAGCAGCGGAAGTCACTCTAAATTTAAGGGCCTGGTTATTAGCATGCTTCAGTTGCTTTGTGGAATGTGTGGGAAAACTGATTATTCTTAATTGCACTGTATGTCTAAAAAGCTAAAATAACAATCATGTCATCCTTACACAACAAAAATGGTATCATAATAAATGCAGCAGTGTCTTTTTCCATGAAGCTTAACTCAAATGTCTTCAGCTGCTATTTTAAGCTTCCCATTACAAAACAGCTGATTATTTGCCAGTCATTGCTGCTGATAAAGCAGAAACTTCCAAATGTTACTAGCACAATATTGATGCCAACATTTAAGGGTGACAATGGTTTTATTCATCACCCATGAATGTACACACACTACAGGTTACCACAGGTTACCATCTGGTCACAGAAAGCTTCACAATCTTATTATACAAAGGAGAGTAAGGGCAAAGTGCAGACAGATTTTAATGAGATTTTGTTTTGATAAACTGCTGTCCATCACATCGAATCATTTCACATTAGTGCAATAAAAGGCACTATACACACAAGGCAAAAGTCCTTTTCTCCTTCCATTTTCTTCTGAAGAATGGGGCCTTCTGATGAGATTCTTCAGAGTACAATCATGAGTTAACCTGCTACTCCCATGAGGTATCTTGAGCAATAGCACATCATTTGATGAAGACAAGAAAAAAATATTAAGCAAAAAATTATTTGAAATCTTATTCATGGAAAAGGCTGAGAAAGATTGTGAGCATTCAAAGCTGTAGCTTTTTCAGTGTGATGCAAAAACTTGAGGGTTTCCAAGAAAATAACCTGTAAATTCCCATTGAATGATATCTAGTGCATGACATCAACACATGCATGTTCAAAGGCAGATCTCAAGGTCCAGTGTGTATGCATCACGACCTCACACTGTCAAATGGATGTTCCAGGACCTTATTAAGACTCAGCACTTTTCCAGCTTTGATCCTAGAATACAGTATAAGCCTGAGACACTTTGTGTATTAAAATACTTTAATTTCCCTAACATGCAGCATACAAACTCTATCCACCTTCAGGAATGCTTTATGTGGTTTACAACTATTCTCCAAATCCAAATATGTTACACAGACTACACAAAAAAGATGCTGGCCAAACTTTACCTAAGTTATTACCAGAGCAAGCAAAGACTTGCTGACATAATGAGGCCAAAAGAGCCTTTCTTTCCACTGCTCTATGTCAGTAGCCTTTCAAAATTTACCAGCTTTGAAGGCATTAATCTTTGTATTTATTTCCTGCTTTATGAATTTTAAGTCTACATGTTCTATGGCAATCATCAATCATACACAAACATCTCTGCATGTGTTTCAATTTGCATGTTGATTCCACAAAAAATTAAAAAAAAAAAAAAAAAAAAGCAAACTTTAAAACAGAAGGGACCAGTCAAAAACTATGGCAATTCCAACAAAATTATCAGAAGTCCAAGTCAGTTTTTGAGTCCAAAACATGGCAATCAAAATAACTAGAACTAGAACAATTTGGAGATGTGTATGACAATGGTCTCCTTAATCAGGTATATATACACATTCATAAAATCTCCTTGAGCCTCCTCTCTGATCCTTTAGGCTACACAGTCTCAGATCTCTCCTCATATGAAAGATGCTTCAAGCCCTTGATTATTTTCTTGGCCCTTCACTGGACCTGATTCAGTATGAGCATGTCCTTGTCCCAAAAACCCCAGAATTAGACCCTGTTGTGAGCCCATAACTGGATTGAGTGGTTATTCATCCTCAGTGGTGCTGAGCAGAGGGAATTATCACCTCTTTTGACATGTTGACAATTTTCCTACTTATACAAATGAGAATGATCTCTTTCTCACAGGGACACATTGCTGGCTCATGTTCCATTTTTTGTTCACCAAGATCTCCATGTCTTTTGTGCAAAGCTGCTTTTCAGCCGGTCAGTCTCAGTCTGTACTGATGCATGGGATTATTTCCTGTCACGTGCAGGACTTCATATTTCCCTTTGTTGAATTCCATTAGGTTCTTGATGGCCTGACTCTCCAGCCTGTCACAGTCCCTCTGAATGGCAGCATGATATATCTTGGTAGATCATGTATCAACCACTTTTCTCCATTTTCCACATTCCACAGATTTTGGAGGCCAAACAATACTTGAAGAGACCAACAGAACAAAGCATTGGGTTTTTGCAAATTGTAGAATTATTCCATATTTAGGAGAGGTTAAAAGGAGATGTTAATTATCTGAAAAAGTGATTATCTTCATTACCATTTACCATATTGTCCTGTTTACCGATAATGGCTGTCAATCATTGAAATATTTTAATGTTTTCAGACTTCCCCTTGGCAGAACATTTGTACTACATCAGATATGGTAAAAATTATGTATTACTCATATTTATGAGTTTTCTTATCTCATATTCCAGTGTGAATAACAATTAGGATCTGTAGAGATACTTAAATCCCTTTTCATTGGGAATACCTGATGTTAGATACCCTTGGATTTGAAGTCTCTTTCAAGACAGTACTGCCTTTTGAATCATAAATTTGAATAGTAGCATCCCTAAAAGCAAGCAACTATGCATCATGAGGGGAACAGTTGAAGGTTATGGGATAGTCAATATGTATTGGCGACTTCTGGAATGGGACTTAAAGGGACTTGAAATTTTGCATGCATACCAGCTGCTCTGGGTCTTACAGAGCAAGAGGTTGATTGCTTCAACTGGCATCATCAAACAACTTGCTTAAGATTTTGGAATTATGGTATCCTTGTATAAAGGCTAAATACAATATTTCTATCAGTGTTTGTC